TCCTTCTGTCTTATGTCAAGATCTAAAATATGCACGGGAATGTTTCTGGGTTCTATTCTATTTCACTAATTTATTCATTGATTCTAGTGCCCATGTCATATTACAGTGAAACCTGTGAGAGCCTTGTTTTTCCGGGTCTCACAAGTTTTCCGCCTTGTACAGGGTGCAGTCTTCATGCTTTTCTATAGCTTGTAGCAAAAAATATTTGAGTTTTCCTTCTCTTAAGTTTCCACCTTATGCAGGTTCTAGCTTTTGCAAGTTAAGTGTACTTTAAATTCCATGGCTCGATAAGTCTTCATAACTGATCAGACAAATCTTCCCTTCTTGCTCTTTTTTCTTTTGAATGTTCTTGTCTATTATGAGACCTTTACCTCTCCAGATGAATTCTAGAATCAGTCTATCAAGGACAACAAAAAAATTTTATTGAAATTAAAATTCTATATCTATTTAGTGAGAACTGACATATTTACTATACTGCATCTTCCCATCAATTAGTATATCCCTCCACTTAGTAAGGTAGTCAGTCTTTCTTGTTCTTCAATCAAGTTTTATACTTTTCCATGAAGAAATTCTTTACCTAGTCTTTATGAAAATGACAAAAGGATTCCTTAAAAGTGACTTACTCTGTAATGCAAATTACTTTCTATGCAGATTATTATGCAAACTTTAGCTCCAAAATCACCTTCTGGCTCATTCTTGACTGGGAACTAGTCATAGTCCTTTACCATATTGCTTTCGTCCTATATAGTCAGAATTAGAATGGATGTCCCTTTCCTGTGTAAGTGACCTATTGAGGAGTATTATTCTTTCCTGGGACACTTGCTGTCTGACCCTTCCTTCCATAAAGTCTTTTTCAGTTGAAATCGGTCTCCAAAATATTGCCTGTGGCTGCCACTTCTCTTTGTCTCACAAATCTGAGTATTAAGATGGCAGCTTTCTCTCTTCAAAGAGCATTCTATAAAGCGGCAAAGAAAGGGGCACATTGCTGTATGCCTTAAAGTCGATTCCAACTCATAGTGACCCCATGTGACAGAGCAGAACCACCCCACAGAGTTTCCGAGGCTGTAATCTTTTATAGGAAGGAGCCCC